CAATGGCCACAAGCTACGGTATCAGGAGGAGGATCCTTTGCCTGTGATTACTGTGAAGACTCAGAACTCTGAGCCTAAGTCAGTCTCTGGATTTGCCTCCCTGCTGCATATGTTTTGCTCCTGGGAAGGACTGCAACTCTAAGCCCAGGTCTGGTGGATCATTTTATTTCTTTAGTCTATTACCTTACTGGGAATGATCTTAAAACACAGAGACAAGCAGACAGTGTCAGATTGCCTTCATTCTGCCCATCCAATGAAGATTGCAGTGATTTTTGCTTCTCCCAGACTCTAACATACTCAAGCAACACCCCAAAGGTTGGATGTTTACTACTCTCAGATGCACAAACCAGAGGGTGCTCTGGAGTGAATGGGAGCCTTCCCGGACAGCAGGCTGAAAAGTTTGTTGGGGTCAGCAATGGCTCTTGGGTCACAAAGAAAATGTAAATGTTGAGTTCAAACCCCACGACCGACCAAAAAAAAAATGTAACCCTGAAGCTGACAACTGTGTACTAGTCCCTACTTAGTGTACCAGAAACCATGCCCCCCCTAAAACTTGAAGAGAGAGCTATCCTAACAGATGTCTAAATTGTAACTTAGAAACATAAGGATTATAAAAAACCAACAACACAGAAGCAACACTAATCTTCCAAAAGTTCTTGATTCTCAAAAGATATTGAAATGGTTGAAATGCCAAAGAAAACATTCAGTTTACAAACTGATCAATGACCTCCAAGAGGGTGAAGTCAAATTAGATTAAAAAAAATTCAATAATTTGGATGAGAAACTCAGTAAACAGAGATTCTGAAAATAAAAACAAAATCAAATGGAAACCTTGGAAATGAAAATCAAATTAAAAATTCAATGCAAAGTACCAATAGACCAGACCAAGTAGAAGAAAGCATATCAGAGACTGAAGACATGCTAATAAATTGACATTCAGAAGGCAATAAAGAAAAAGAAAAGCCATTATGACCACAAACCCAAGACCTCTGAAACATGATTAAGAGACAAAACCTAGAAATCTTTTGTGTCAAAGAGGGCACTGAGATATAGACTAAAGGCATAGAAAACATATTTAATGAAATTATAGAAGAAATTTCACCAAATTAAGGGGGGAAATAGGCATCCAAGTACATGAGGTATTTAAAAGCTCAACTATATATGACCAGCAAAGAACCTCTCTCTATACCATAAAATAGTTAAAATGCCAAATGTCCTAACAAAGAAAGACTACTGAAAACTGCAGGAGATAAGGGCCAAGTTACTTACTAAGGCAATCCTATTAGCAGAGCAGCAGACTTCTTACCTTATACCCTAAAAGGTCAGGAGAGCATGGACTGATGCATTTCAAGCTCTGAAACAAATAGCTGCTAAGACACACTATCTTTCTAATCAAATTATTTTTTTAAATCAAATGAGAAATAAAGGCCTTCTATGATAAGCATTAACTGAAACAATTCATGACCACTAAGATAACAATAAAGAAAATACTTAAAGAAATACACCTACAGAAGATGAAGAAAAATAGAAACAAGCAGGAGAGCTTGGGAAATCTCACTAAAAGAACTGATGGACAACTAAAAAGTGAGAAAGAACCAAATATTATTAACTTAGGAAACCTCTTAGATAAAGAAAGGAGAAGTTAGTTCATTCCTCTCCATAATTACACTGTGTAAATGGTCTTAACTCTTCAATTAAAAGGTGCCCAATGGCTGAAGGGATTTAAAAAAACAACAAGACCCAGCTGGTACTGTCTACAAGAAACTCAACTCATTGGCAAAGACAGGAAGATATTTATAGTGAAAGAAAGGAACACAGTATTGCAAGCAAATGGCATCTGAAAGCAAGCAGAAGTAGCTAAATGCTTATCAAACAAACTAGAGTTCGAATCAATATTAAGCAGAAAAGACAAAAAAGGTCACTATATATTCATAAAGAGAACAATCCATCAAGAAGATAGGGTGATTGCAAGTATGTGTACAGAATGTTGATGTACTCAAATTCATGAAATAAACACTACTATATATAAAGGGACAGATGAATCCAGATACAAAATGGTGGATAGCTTTTAATACCCTTTTTTTTTTTTTTTGGCGTCCGGTCGTAGGGCCTGAACTCTGGGCTTAGGCACTGTCCCTCAGCGATTCAGCTCAAGGCTAGAGCTCTACCACTTGAGCCACAGCGCCACTTCTGGCTTTTTTTCTTTTTGCTTATGTGGTGCTGGGGAATTGAACTCAGGGCCTCATGCATGCAAGGCAAGCACTCTACAACTGAGCCACCTTCCCAGCCCCAATACCTATTCTTATTGATTATCATTTATACAAAAAAAAAAAAAAAAAATCAACAAACTTCAGCCAGGCACTTGTGGCTCACGCCTTTAATCCTAGCTACTCAGGAGGCTGAGATCTGAGGATTACGGTTCAAAGCCAGCCCAGGAAGGAAACTCCAAGAGACTCTTTTCTTCAATAAACCACTCAGAAAACTGGAAGTAGCACTGTGGCTCAAGTGGCAGAGCACTAGCCTTGAGCTGAAGAGCTGAGGGACAGCGCCCATGCCCAGAGTTCAAGCCCCATGACCGACAAAACAAAACAAAACAAAAATCAACAAACTTCAGATTTAAACTACGCTAGAGATCAAATGGATTTACTAAATACCTATAGCATATCACATCTGACATCTGCAGAGTACACATTTTTCTCAGAGCCTATGGAACTTTTCCCCACATAGATCACATTTTAGGTCATAAAGTATTAACAAATAACAACAAAAAGGGAAATTATTTCTTGTGGCTTACCAGATCAGAATAGAATTAAAAATCAATAGCAAGAATAACAATACAAACTGCATAAATACATGGAGATTGAACAATAAACTGTTGAATTATTAGTCTGTAACTTAAGAAATTAGGGAGGAAATTTTAAAATTCATACAATCAAATGAAAATAAAAACAGAACTTATCAGAACCTTATCTTAGAACAGCAAAGGCAGTTCTAAGAGAAATTTATAGCTATGAGTACCTATCCTAAAAAATCTGAACAAACCCAACCAATGAGGCAAAAGATCTTTTTAATTAAAAGTATAAAACACTGAGGAAAAAAAAAACTGGATACTAGGGAACTTACCTAACCTTACAGCTTTCATTATTACCTTCTCCATCTGACACACTTTAATTTCCCTCTTTTGACCAATACCTCTCCCTCCCCTCACACAAACACATGTGTACACACTCCCCAACACTTACAAGGTATATACACTGAAAAATTCCAGGATTTCCTCAAGATATTTAACATTTCGCTTCTTTATAAAGCTGAAAAGTCTGATTTAAACATTAGATGAATTCTGGGATGAGACCTATCTTTCCACTTATGGGCCCATCCTTGTGCTATTATCAATGACCAGGAAATTGAATTGGTAGTAATATAGTGGCATATATAGCTGCCTTCCATATGACCAGGGAGTAAAAATAGGCTGGCTATTTGACTGCCTATGAGCTAAAATGAACTATTTATAGTTTTGGAGATAGATGCTAAGGCAGCAAAATAAGAGTTTTCTCTACGTAAGACCTCAGTAAGAAGGAACCTTACAAAAGCAAATCATGGGTGGAAATTAGAATCAAGAGGATAAGATTTTTAGATGGGAGAGAGAACCAAAAGGAGGAGGCACTGGAAGTTTTCTATAGAGGAGATGGTGTTGTCCTTCCCTACACAGGTTTTGGAGGTTGTCAGGCTCACTGCTGTCCTATACAGCTAGCATCACATAAGAGTGGTTTCTATCCTTCTATTTCTATCCATGCTCTCTCTCAAACTGCTTCCCCTGATCTACCCCACAGTCCAATCCTCTTAATCAGATCCTTCCATTTCTCATCTTGTTGCTCATTTCCCTTCAGCATTGTTCCTAGCTCTGACCTGCACTTTCCATTTTTCTATGGTTTAAATCTGCCTTCCTAGGATGCAGCAGTACTAATATATTGTGGCCACTTTTCAGGTCTCTACCTGAAAACTAACCTTTTGTAATTCTGGTTATGGGACTCTTACAAGAAAAAGAGGGCAACAAAGATAAGAAAAAGTGGAAAGTGTAAAATATAGTAGAGAAAAACAATCAGAAGGAAAATACTACTTGAAATTGTCATAGAAATATAGGTAACTTTGGAAACCTATATTACAAAATAAGGGGGGAAAAGCCATGGTGGTAATAAAAAGCTATTTCCTAGAGATATTATTCTTTTTAAATGTCTGAATTCACTGATCCTTCTGCTTTGGTGATCCTGACCTTCCAACCTTCCTTGCAAGGCACACTCCTACTCGCCCTTCAATACCTTGTTTAAATGTGTTATCTGGATAGCCTGCACTGTTCTTCTAGACAATGAACTGTTCCCTCTTCTGTGTTTCCAAATCTCTTTATATATATATATATATATATATATATATATCCATTAGGCTGTTACCACTTACACCAACAATTTCATCTCTCCCACGACTTCCTTGAGGACAAGGACTAATTTTCTCTTATTCATTTTATGCGTCCTCAAGACATAGCATCTGGCATACCCCAAGAGGTTGCTGTTGCCATGATAAACGACGTGGAAGCATAATCTGCACTTCATTTGCAAAAAAAAAAAAAAAAATCCCATTTGGTTCTTGACACTTTTCATGTCCTCTTGATTTTGAAGGAATAGCTTTAGACCTAAGAAGGAAAGCCTATGGCTCAAACTGGAACACGTTGGCTTCTCATTCCCACTGGTGATAGAAACCTTTTCCCTACACACTAAACCTCTCAGGGCAAGCTTAATATTAATGACTCATCTCCTATCCTAACCATTGTTAGCGAAAGGCTAAATTACATTGCGAGTCTAAAGCCGGCCCTAGTTTTAGCGGAGTGGGGGAAGGGGGGTGGAGGGTACTAATTAAAAGCGAACTCTTGGGTAGCAGACCTGGGAGGGAACATGGCGGAGGAAGATGGATTTAAATCTTGCCGTGTAAGAAATCTGTTAGAAACTCACGTTAAACAGGCGCCTCCTCTGTACATGACAGATCCGATCCAGGTGTCCAGCAGTGACCTTTTCTCACGGGTGTAAGGTCATCGTCGCCCAGCACACAAAACCAGGGGCCCGTGGCTTCCTTGGCCATCCCTGTCTCTCTCAAACCTGGGGGTCTGCTTTCCCTTTAGGGGCTCGTCCTTCCAGCACCAACAACCACCGTTTGCTCGGCGGCGTGTCCTCCGCCCCACCCCCTCGCTGCGCCACTCTAGCCTTCGCCCCGCACCCCAACCCCCTCCCCAGGCCGGACGCAGGGTCACAAGTGGCTGCGGCCGGGGCTGTCAGGCCGCGGCTGAGGAGGGGGCGCCGTGCTTAGGCCCTAGGCTCCCCGCACTCCGCGGGACAGGACAGCGGGGGAGACGCAGGCCGCGTCTGGCCCCGGGGCTGAGCGGCGGCGGCGGGGCTCTCCAAGCCCCGGACGAGGGTGGGAGGAGGGGGTGCTCCGCGCCTCCCCCACCGAAAGCAAAGCTGGCGACGGCAGGGTCTTCAGCCCGTCTCCCGCAGCCGCCGGCAAGTCCCGGCCTCAAAGCTCGCCGTCACTCTTCCTAGTGGCTGGGTCTTCGCCCGCCTGCCCGTGCCCACCGCAATGCCCCGGCCTTCGCGCGGCCCGGCCTGACGCCAGCCGCCTCGCCGGGCCGCGCCGTGACAGCTAGGTGCCCAAAGGGTTAAGCCGGCAGAGCGGCGCCGGGTGTGCCCCCCCCCCGCCCCCCGCGCCGCGCGCGCGCGCCGCCGTCGGTCTGCCGCGAGCCGGCCCCAGCGCGCACGCGCCCGCCCGTCCGCCCGCCGTTACCTGCGGTCGTTTCCGCGCTGCTCCTCCTCCACCTGGCCGCTTTCTCCCGAGGGCCGCCCCTCAGCCCGCCCCCTCGGCTCCGCGCCGCACACCCTGCCGGCTACTCGGACGCGGCCCGGGGAGGAGGGGCGTGGGGGCGATTACCATATATTAGCATAGCGGGGGCGCGTCACGTGTCCGCTTCAGCCAATGGTCATTCTTGGAAGGCGGGGGTTGAGATGAACACGCCCCCATACTGCTCCGGGTCTGAACCTGTAGCCATGGCAACGTCTAGCCGGGCGGGGTACGGGGTGAGGGGAGGCACTGAAGCCCATTGGCTCCCCCAGGAGCATCTCCCCTACCTGAGCTTCGTGTGGTGACACCAGAGGGGCTGAATTTGACTCAGCCTGGAAGGTTCAGATTCAGCACACACACACTCATCGAGGACAACAAAATTATGTTCCTAACACTTTCTATAGACTATGATTCTTTCTATAGACTATGACATCTGTAACTAATAGCATCACTTGATAGTGGGGAAAGTGGTGGCTCAGGTTAGATCATTCCCTCAAAGTCACACAACAGCACAGAAGGGAAAAAGTGAAGATTTAAGCCCATTTCTGGACTTCAGCCCTAAAGTCTCTTGAATTATTTTCTCCAGCAGGGGTCCTCCAACACCTTCTCACAATCCCAGGTATACCAGAAGTTGAGACAATCCTAACACATAATCTGCCATGCTTTTCTTTTACTTACAATGACTTTTGAAGTTAGCCTCCAGAACACTATGTACTCTCATTACCAATGAGAAGAAATGAGGCTCAGAGAGGGATGTGACCCGCCTTAGATCAAGAAGTTACAAAGAGCTGTGTTTAATTACTGTAATTTATATTTACTAATAGTACCTCACTACTTCCGAAGTGTTTAAATTCAATGTTCTGAACATACTGGAATTTGCTCTGACCATTTTACAAATCGAGACACTGAGGCTTTGGCAAATTACACACCAATAAGTAAACAGATTTAGGGTTTAAATTCAGGTCTTCCTGGCTCCAAGGTTAATATAGAGTTTCACTGCCCAGGTTCACTTAGTTTAGAATTGGGCATTAGAACCTTTTGTCTAGTAGAACTTTCAAGAAAGTTACCTCTTGATTCTACAGCAAATATATCATAGAACATGACATTTATTGGCGGTAGGGGAAAATATTAAAAGAGAACAGTCAGCTTGGCAGAGGCACTCTAGAATTCCCCTGCCAGATTTGACAGTTTACCTATCAAATCAGAGTAGTTTAAAAAGTGCGAATATCTGCATATACATGTGTTTAGCTCAGTGGTTCTCCCACATATACTACACTACTTCTGAGGTACTTTAAGGGATCATCACAGGTCATTTTGAAAGTAAGTACATTTTATCTTACTAGATGGACTTAAAACTGAATTCTATCCAAATTTAGTGCTTATGAGCACAAATGTAGAGGCAAACTTACATTAAAATCCTGATTTTCCCACTCATTAGATGTTGTGTGTGCCCCAGAGCAAGTTATAGAACCTCTCTGGGCCTCAGTTTCTTCATTTGTAAAAACGGGAATATTGTGGGCATTAAATGAATTAAGGCACACATACAAACACAAAAATATTAGGCACAGGACTGAGAGCATAGCCTAAGTGGCAGAGCACCTGCCTAGCAAGATCAAGGCGCTGAGCTCAAACTTCACTACTGCCCCCAACACAAAGCATTTAGAACAGGAGGCCTGGTGCAAGATAAGGCCCCATATTTGTTGGCTGTTGTCATTCTGTTCTTAGAGCTTTCCTCAAAACAGCTCATGTGTATGGGATTTCTCAAGTCTTCCTAGCTGGTGTTGGAACTCTGAAGCTTTCTTCATCCCCTGTCGCACATTAAACAGTCTGTTGTGCTGGTGAAGGCTTGTTAACTTTCCGAATGACATTCTCTCTTCTTGGAACCATAAATAATTCCAGGACTCAAAGGAGCTGGTTTCTTTTGCACATCTCCTAGCACCAAATTACCGGAGTGGCTCCTTGTAGAGGAGGATCTTGACAAACAGTGGACCCATAAGTCAGCCTGTGTGCAACATTTTTATGAGTGTCTTAATGAGGGAGATGAGCTGTCTTCAGGAACTTGTCCCGTCTTTTCTGACTGCAGGAAATGAGCTTTTTGTACTCAAAGACTTCCAAAGCTGAGATGCAAAGAGCTTTCAGGAAGTAGGCCAGGAATGAGAGGCTGTTGACTCAGAGTTTCAGAGCTATACAGCCCCCATCCTGCCATTCACTCCAAAGGGTCAGATTACACATAGTCTTATGACAGCAATAGCACCAACAAGCTGCTTATCATTGGATGTGTTAGTCTACCACTGCCTTTCACAACGGAGATACTCTGATGTCTCCTCACCCCAAGGTATGACAGAATGGAGTAGTAGTTAAAAACATTTATCTTTGGGGCCCAAGAACCAGATGTGAATCTTGATCCCATTACTCAATCCTCTGTGTGACACTAGGGGAGTTCCCTAATCTCTCTATGCCTTAAGTTGCATATCTATAAAATTGGACAAATCGTACCCATCTTAAATGCTCTTGTTAGGATCGAATGAGTTACAAATACAAATTGCTTAGCATTCCCTATAGTACTTAGCAATGCGTTTGATAATTTAAAAAAAAAAGATAAAGTCCAGTAAATGTACTTTCTACAGAGGTATCTGCCGCAAAAGTGGAATACCTTAGGTCCTGTGGCAGACTTATGCTCCCCTTCAGCGCTCTCTGACTTGGAGATGGACATTATCCATAAAAGGAAGACCAGGTACTTGGGACCCTGTGTGTGAACTTGGCCTAGGTATTTTGCATTTCTGAGCTACAGTTCCATTATTTGTAAAACGAGACTAACTTGTTCTCCTGTTCTCCACCTTTGTGAGTATTCAAGTGGGTGGGGGGAGCCTGAGATGGGCAGAAGTCTTTCAGCTAAGTCAGCTTTCACTTCTACTGAGCTACTTCTAGGACACAACTTTGCTCTTCAATAATGATCTTACTCAACCCTCACGCTAAGTCTAAGAAAGGCCCAGGGAGATAAAGAACCTTGTCCAAGATCTCAGTGGAAATCAGTGGCAGAGCTAGGATTTCAGTCAGGACTATTGGACTCCCAACTCCATGCTGCTAACCATTATGCCTCCAACTCCAGCATGGCTCTCAGAACTCAAGGAATATTTCTTTAGCATTCTTCCTCCATCCATGTATACACTTTCCCCACCAGTGCCTCGCAAAGTAGGTGTTCCATATATATTTATTAAATGACTGAAAACAAGTGACTCTGACATCTTCTTATAATGATGAAATCTCTTTATTTCTTGGCCCGTCCCTAGTTGGAAGGATAACAGCTGACAGCCCTCCTCTTCATCTCCTAGCATTCTCCTGCTAAATTATATTGTATAAAGCTTCCTTCCTTTCTCCCTGGGTGAGTCAGACTTTTAGATTTCAGCAACCCACAATAGACACAATGAATCATCTTCAGAGTACAATTGAAGAGATATCAAGGCCACTGGAGCTCTCTAGGGCTCTGCTAATAGGCATCAGTGTAGTGATTTCCAAATAATGGCTTTGGATAAGCACATTCATTTCCTAGTGCTGCCACAAGATGCCACAAGCTAGGTACCTTCAAATAATAGATACATTCTATTACAATTTAGGAGGCCAGAAGTCTGAACATCATGGCTTCTGAAATCTTGGACACACAGAGAGAGAACCTGTCCTATGTGTCTTCTAGCCTGTGGTGATGGCTAGCAATTCCTAACAACCCTTTGTGGGTACATCACTCCAATCTGCCTTTGTTTTCTCATGGTGTTCTCTTGTGTATTTGTGTCCATATCTCCTTCTCATAAGGACATTGATTATTGGATTAATGCCCAGATAAACACAGTACAACCTCATATTAGCGTGTTGACAAAGACCTTGTTTACAAATAACTTATTTTCACATAAGATCACGGTTATAGGTAACTGGGAACTAAAAGTTGAATATGTCTCTTTGGGAAATACAATTCAACAGTAATATATTTGGGATAAAGTAGAGAGGAGAGAGGGAAGGAAGGAAGGAAAGAAGGAAGAAAGGAAGAAAGGAAGGAAGGAAAGAAGGAAAGGAAGAAGGAAAGAGAAGGTGACAGATGATACTAACAAGATGGAATGAGACAAAGGGTCCCTCAGGAAGGGAACTAACCTCTTTCTTCTTGGCTACTTCAATATTCCCTCAACAAGTCCCAAGATTACAGACTTACAATACCAGAATTGAGAAGGACTTTAGAGAGCGCTTCATCTACTCCACAAACATTGGTTAAGCACTCTTTGAGGTACTGGGCATTCAGAGAGAAAAGACATGTTCTGAAGACACTCTGGACCATAGAGTTG